TTGCTTCTCCTAGTCAACACTTATATCTAGTATACTATCAAGTTCAAGTACGGCTAGGCAATCAAATGGACCCAGCAGACTGGGGTTGGAAATTAGTATGTATTACATTGGAGCCAATTCAAACTTTACTCCTACCTGCTCCGGAAAGACTTCTCAACACGATTTTTTGCAATTGCAAAAAGGGTTGTAGTGCTAAACGTAGCTGCAAAAAAGTTAGGTTATTTTGTTCACTAAGGGTCGATGATATAAAACTTTTTATTGGCGTAAAACGCTACCGGTGGTAAAATTTATCGGCATTAATTACACTAATTACAGAAGCAATAAGAATACTTCGAACTATTATTTTGTAGTCCTAAAATTAAGTTAAGTAGTTTCAAATCAGTGCAAATTTTAAACTGAATATTTCTAAAGTAAATACTATAAAAAAAAGCACAGTTTTCATAATTCTCTTGAATATTTAGAACTATTCCTGAGAGTAATGTCTGTTCAACGGATATTTCTTATTGAGGTTGGGACAAATGCCCTCGGAATGTTTGATCTCTTGGTGATATCATCACTAATAAAGTTTAAGATTTCTCGATGTTTTTTAATTCTTAAGAAGTGAGAAATTTTTTTTTTTTTTTTTTTTTTTCAGTTTACAATTATTAATCGTAATATAACAATATAACAATATATAAACTTGGTATCTGAAAGAAGATCCAAATGATCTTGTCGCCAGAACCATATAAAAGATATAATACGTGTATATATAATAAAATAAAATACAATTGATCAAATAACTAATAACAATGTAGAAGAAACAAAAACTGAAAATAATTTTACAAATCATCCAGAGTAGAAAAAAAAAAGAATTTTACATTTCAAAAATATTTATATATATTGCCAGTAGAAAGAATATAGTTTTTTAATTTAGTTTTAAAAACGGAAAACGAAATTGACAAATCAAAATTTGGAACAACAATTTTGTTCCATAAATACGGTGCTCTATAGTTTATGCAAAATTGATTAAACTTTGTTTGACAAAAGGGTTCAATTAATAAATTATTATTTCGTAAAGCATATTTGTTTATAGCTTTATAAGTAAAAAGATCTTTGAAATTGAACAATGGTCGTTCACTTTTACAACGAAACATAAAACATAAAATATTATAGACATTGAGTTCGTAAACGTTAAGTGCTTTAACGTTTTTAAATAAAATATTTGAATGAGAAAAACGATTTTTGAAACATATTAAACGCATTGCGTGTTTCTGACGATGGTAAAGATTTCGTAACTTACTTTTAGAGGTACTTCCCCAAACAATACTTGCATAATTTATATAGCTATGAATAAACGAGTAGTAGAGTTGAATTAAATTTTGTTTACTTAGATAGTATCTGACCTTATATAGAATTCCAATACTTTTAGCCAATTTAGTAGAAATATAGTCGATATGATACTTCCATGTAATATTTTCATCAATGTAAATGCCTAAAAATCTTGTGATTGACTCCTTTTTTATTTCAATTTTATCAATAAAAAGTTTAGGCAATTTATTTGGTAAAAAACGCTTTTTAGCAAGAGAGTGGAAAAGGATCCACTTTGTTTTGTCAATGTTTAAAGTTAACTTGTTGCACTTAAACCAGTTGGAGATCTGATTGAGTTCTTTATTCATATTTAAAAAAAGCTCATAAATGCTACTGTTTGACAGAAATAAATTAGTATCGTCCGCAAAATTTATACTCATAAGGTTAGAAGCTTTATTTAAATCATTTATATAAACTAAAAACAAAAGTGGGCCTAGAATAGAGCCCTGTGGAACACCACATTTTATGTCAAAATGTCAAAAAAAAAAGAAATTGAGAATGAGCTTCTTGGGAATTCTCGAGAAATTTTTAGAAATATCAAAATCGTAATTTTTTTTAAATTTTAATATAATTTATGTTCATAAAATGTGTAACGACAAAAATTGGTTTAAAAAAAACAGCAGAGTAACAAATATAAAAGTCAATTATACTATAAAATATACAAGTATAACAAGTTTTTAATTGTTATTTATTAGTTAATTTATAAAAGAACGTGTTTGATAATCGATTTCTTTTTTTGTAACAAAATTATTAGCTGTCGAGAAATTACGTTCGTTTTGCAGTGAAGTTGGTTTTATTGTAGATAATGCATCTTAGGTTTTCCAAATTTTGTGACCTTACTCCGGTTGTTTGGAATATGCTGCATTCTTTTTTAAGTGTCTGATAAAGATTCTGGGTATCATTATCGCAACATTGACGTGGCATTTTTTCTTTTGTTGTATTTTTTATAGCTAAATTTAACTGTTCTTCAAGTGATAGCTCAGTGTTGACATTAAAATGTTTTTAAAATTGCTAGATGCATGCCATGATCGTAGCATAATTGCTGAAAGGCAGGCGATAATCTACCAAATTAACATAACAGCCACAATATCTTCTTGTAAAGATAAGCCAAACTCTTCTAATTTTTGCGACAGTATTTCCAAAGTTATTACTTAGTATAATTTTTCAACTTAGTTATTACAATTAGAAGTTTATTTGCTATTACATAACAGTGTTTGTGATTGCTCCCGATGTGTTCGGAATTACCCCACGTATGTAGGGTAATTTCGAACACCAGTAGTTTTATTTTTGCCATAAATTTTTTTTTAATAATAAGATTTATAAAAATTGGTTTTTAGGGTTTGTGACTGAATAGTTCAACTAATTGATAAGCAATAAATATGATCAATTTTGTATAACTGGTGTCTTTAATTCGCATTCCCGCTTAGGTTTTTGCCAATACCCCTATTCTGTGAAAGCAAATTCAATATGCGTAAAAATACTTCGGATTAACTTAACTAAATTAAAGTTGTGATGTGCAAAAGTTTTCTTTATTTGTTGAAAAAAGTAAAGAAATTAAAAATGTATTATTTAGCAACATTAAAATTGTTTTTATTTTTTTATGACTTTGCACATCTTTTAGGCTTCAAATTTGCAGGTTTGCGTACGGTTTAGAAGAAACCAAGCATTTTTTGCCAACTTCTAAAGTTCACTTTTTTTAGACAATTATTAATTTTATAATTTACCCTATTTTATTGATTTTTACGAGAACTTTATAATTGGTTTATTCAGAAATCAAGTTTTACGGACGTAATTTTTTGAATTGTGATTCTTTATTATGGAAATGCAAACTTTTGTCTTCGGAATATGAAGGTTGGTTTCTTCGGTCGTCGTATTTTTAAGAGTTAGTGTCTCTATTTAGTTATTTTTAAGAATTAGTATTTTACCACGAAAATATAATAATAGACCATGTTAATATCGTTCTGCAAATCTTTCAAGAAATAAAGTTTCCATTGATAATATTTGAGAGATGAATATTTTTGAAAAATATAAATCAGCGCTATTATTAAGTTTCACTGTTATTATTAAGTTTTACTGTTTTTATTAAGTTTCACTGATATTATTAAGTTTTACTGTTTTTATTAGGTTTAACTGTTTTTATTAAATTTAACTGTTATTATTAAGTTCCACTATCATGGGCGTCCACAGGATTTTTTGATGTTTCAGATAGGACACTTTCACACATTGTGCAAACTCCAAACTTAAGTATGTTCATTCCTATGCCAAATGAAGACGCATTGCAAAAATTTGGAATGGCGGATGCTTGGGAATAAAAAAGCTCTAAAAAAAACCTCCCTCTTTGCCCAAATGTGAGTGCACTAATGTGGTAAAATTTTCAGCATTACTATCTTAAATTAAATTTGAATTTATCTACAGATTTTAAATTTCGTAGAAAAATATGATAAATTACAAAAGTTATGACTATGCAAAATTTCCGCTCCCCCTCTAAAAAAAAAAAAAAAAAAAATGAGGGGGTAAAAACATTGCATAGTCATAACTTTTGTAATTTACAATATTTTTTTACGAAATTTAAAATTTTTCGATAAATTTAAGTTTAGTTTAAGATAGTTAAGTTGAAAATTTTACTACATCAGTGCCCTCACGTTTGGGCATGGGAAGCAAGCGTTTTAGGGATTTTTTGTTCCCAGGCCTCTGTCATACTAAATTTTTGCAAGACCTCCTTATTTGGCATAGGTATGAACGTACTTAAGTTAGGAACTTGCACATTGTGTGAAAGTGTCATATCTGAAACATCAAAAAATCCTACGGGTGCCCATGTCCACTGTTATTATTCTGATTATTTAATAATGTAAATTTACATTTAATTTGAAAGAATAGAATTTTATAAGATGAAAGAAGGTACACAGATACACAGAACTGATATGAGATAAAAAAAGGTAAAAGGGTACACAGGTTTTTTATAAGATAAAAAAAAGTTTCATTATTCTCATGTCTCTGTGATTAATGGAATGAAACAGTAAACTATTGCATTACAAAAGTTGTATAGCTAAAAATTAGATTAAATATTAATTTAGTGGTAACTCATATAAACCATTTTTTAAGATTCTATTGGGTCCTTGTTAATACCTACCCGTATTGTTTTTTTTTTCTAGTATTTAAAAAGTTAATAGCAGCCTTTTCTTTATTTGTATTGAAAAAATTGTTAATAAATATAAAGAATATTTGGAAAACATGCTTTTTAAAATATGTAAAAATTTATTTGTACTAACTAGGTATTGTGTTTTCTGAGCTTATATTAAGTAACATTACTTAACATACATATATACAAAATAAGCAAACCAATTGAAAATGCAGAGAGCTGAAAAATGGGTGAAAATGCATGAATAAATGAATAGAAGGCGTAAAACGCCTGAAGTTTTGAACTCCAAAGTTAGTTACTTATTTACTGTACAAACATAGGTATTGTGCTAATAATGACGATGCTAAAAACCTCTGTTGCACAATTTTATAGTATGTTTACATGACTTTATGTTAAATTAAACTTATTGATTATGGTACAGCTTAATCAGTAGTATTAATAAAAAGAAACAATAAGGTAGTAATTTGCAATGAAGGTAGGTCTAAATAACTTGGTTGCACTTAGGAAAGCTTACTTTTTAATGAATCATTCAGATTTGATAAACATGTTATGTTTACATTATTACTAGTGTAATTATTTCCAGTTGTATACGTCATTAACCATACGTGCAATGTCCAAATAACAGTATTGCTGTATACCTGAAAACAGAATATAGACAGCATTTAATAATATATTTACTAGTTATAAATATTTTTTTACACTTTTTTTTTAATAAAAAATAAGTTGATTTTTATTACTTAACTTTTAATAAACTTTTAATAAACTTGGAATTTTTTTGAGCTCAAACAAATTTAAAAAGAAAGCATTTTTCATATTTTTGTTTGTTTTAATTTTAATCCTTATTTTTAGTTAACGCTATAAACCCTAAATCCTAAACTGGGCCGGCACAAGTAGGTATCACGTGAAGGGGGTGCCATTACAACTTTTGCAGACAAAAAAAAAAAAAGTCCTCGTTTTTTTAAATTTGCCGACTGCCTTATCGACATTCGCCAACTGACTGTCTAAATTTACAGACTAATTTGACAAAAAATCTACATTTGCCGACAAACTAGTCAAAAAGGGTCAAATTTGCTGAATAAATGACGAAAAATAATTGATGGAGGGAAGTCACACACCCCCATCGCGCCAACCTTGATCCTTAATTTAATGTTCGCATTATATACAATTATTAAATTACCAAGTTAAGATATACAGACTAAGTTAACTTAGGATTTCTTATGAATTTTTAGAATAAATTATAAACAACAATGATCAGTCAGGCATTTTTAAAAATAAATTTAACGTATGAGTTATTGGGTGTTTTAAAGTTTCATATTTTTAAAATTGAAATATTTAATTAAAAATTTTATTTAAAAAAACAATTTTTGAATTCAATTTCACCAATATGTAAATTTCCATTTTTTTTTTAATAGTCAAAGTATTATATTTCTTTTATATAGATTTTGTAAAACAAAGTATTTGTTAAAAATATTTTTCAATATATAGGGGAGAACGGGGCAACATGGCGAAGGGGGCAAGATGACGAATTGCTTTTTCTAGCCGAACCGCTCAATAATGAATAGTTTAAATAGATAGTAATGAAAACTGTCTATATGGGTCTTATTTTAAATAACATTTGGTTTTTGTAGTTATTGTCCCCGTGGATTTATTCACAAAAGTCTATTTTTACGATTTTTAAAATAATTTTTTTTTTCAGTTTGGTCCTTATTATTTTAGGCTACGCTGCCTTTTGCATGCTGCGAAACTATTATTTGGTACAAAAAACATTTTTTAATATTATTATAGTAAATGTTTGTGCAGCTGTTGTAGAGTAATAGAGTTATTGATGGAATTAGAATAATTGTGTCAGCGGGGCAAGTTGATCGGGGTAAGATAACGAGTCTGCCATCTTGCCCCGTCATATTTTGTTAAATTCAAATATCTAAACCGAGTAATACGACATCTTTTTTTTCATAAAAAGAAACTATATAAATTAAAACACAAACTGTATATATATATATATATTTATATATATATATATATATATATATATATATATATATATATATATATATATATATATATATATATATATATATATATATATATATATATATATATATATATATATATATATATATATATATGTATATATATTTGCATATATGTATATATATTTTTGTATACATGTTTGTAGGTATCTGTGTGTAAAGTTAAATTAATAGATTAGTGTATATATTTTTTTCTGTGTGTTATATATATATATATATATATATATATATATATATATATATATATATATATATATATATATAACTCTTTATTTGTTGTTTAAGAAATGGTTCAAACATACATTAGAAAAACTACTAGAGGTGTTAATGGTAATTGGACCAGTGAAAATCTATGTTTAGCATTTGAAGCCGTGCAAAAAAACAGTAGTAGTATAAATCAAGCATCAACGAATTTTTCGTCAGACCCAGATCAGCATTTGTTGCAGGTCATGGAGCCATCAACAACATTTGTCACACCTGTAGTTATAAAACCAATCCCTGTTTCACATCGAGTTCAACAGCTGTCTTGTCGTAAACGAGTGTCACAAGGTTCTGTAGTTGCTGCAAATTCTCCATTTAAAAATCAAGTTAAATTAAAAGAAAGTGTGAAGAAAGCACAGGTTGATAAAAAAAATGAAAGAGCAAAAAAAAAATTGTCGAAGAAAGTGGAATTGGGGCTATCTGGTGAAAAAAAAGCTGCTTTACTAACAAAGAAATCTAAACGATTTACAGAAGGCAATACATTGGAGAAAAATAAGCCTCAGTCAAATGAAGCACCATGTATACTTGACAGTGGAAAGCAATTCAACAAAGAGCTTAACCAAACTGAAGATGAATCACCATGTTTGTGTAGTTATTGTGGATATGTTTTTGGAGATGAAATGGATCCATTATTTGAAGACGACTGGCTAAGCTGTAAAAAATGTTATAACTGGGCTCATGAAAGTTGCGGTACTGTCATTGGCAGTTTTACTTGTTATGGCTGCCAATCAGAAAATCTTCAAAGTAATACAAAAAGCAAAAGGAAATAGAAATATAAAATAGACTTTTAAGTTTCCTGTTGTTGTGGGACAAAAAAATATGTATTTTATAAATTTTTTGTTATTAGATTTGTATTACTGGTATCGAGTGTGTTTTATTTCGCATTGTGTTATAGTATTAAGATTTTTATTGAGAAGTTATAGTTTTAAATTTGTATTGTTTTCATGTTATGAGATTTAAAACTGATGTTAGTCAGTGATTTGGCTATATAGTGTAAGGTTGGTCAACTTTATTTCAAGTGTATTCAGTTTTAAACTGCAGTAAATTATTGGCATATTTATAGGGCGTTAAATATTATTAGGTGCAATGGGTACAGCTACCCCAATTAGATAAAAAATGAGCAACCTGGCTTTGTTTTGCAGTTAATTGAGTTACATTTTCCAATGTCTAATTGATTGTGAATTGAAAAACGCAGTTTCAGTCATCTTGCCCCACTATCGGGGCAAGATGAAAAATTTAAGGACTTTTTTATTTTGTTTATTTGGGTATGTTTTTATTGTAATTAACTAAATACCTTGGCGAATATTAAAAGATTAGGGTATCAAATACATACTGACAAAATATTAGTGAGCTATGACTGGTAGTCTTGCAGGAAACAAAGATTTTCGAAACGTTCGCCATGTTGCCCCGTCTTCCCCTATATTTCAGGGATGATAAATTATAAACTTCTTAATTAGTTTATGAAAAGAACTTTTTTAAGTTTCTTTATGTTGTTTCTGGCCACCAGCGTTAAGTTTTGTTGCATATTGTCAGACTTGTATTTACATACAAAGTTATGAATGAGATCTGTATTTCTCTCTGTACAATCTTTCACGCAAGTTAAGTTTTTCTGAATACACCTAACAACTTCGGGGCTTTTCTTTCCTCCAAAGCTTTACTCCAAGATTTCTGAAATTTTTAACAGGATTCAACTTTTTGGATCTACCGGATCCAAAAGCTCAGTGGACTCACGTGTAAATTATAGCTTTGATTTTTCAATCATTTGCTTCCTGCAAATAAAACCCTATCCGTAGCCTCTTTGTTTTCTCTTCATTCAATGTCTCCATAAAATAAGAGATGTGTATCTCAACATATGTCTTCTGCAAAGAAACCATAGGTGTGCGATGTTGAGAGTGGAGCCAAAAATAACAATAGCTCCAAAGTGTACTCCAATATCGTCACTGTTGTGTTACAATAAATAGCAAATATTTGATCTACAATTCGAATACTTCTAGCTGATTTAAAATTGATTTAAAAGTTTTAAAAGTTGCAGACTAAACAACAATTAGCAGTTTCTCATCTTTGTCATCCTTGTCAGGTGATGTAGCATTGACTGATATCCTTTCTGCAGAAACAGTTATGTTTAAATCTTTAATCTGTTCACTCGCTTTCCATTAAAGAAAACACAGATCTTCTTTCTCTTCAAAGTATTTATAATATTTTCCTGAGGTTGTTTGTTAAAATCTCAATCTTCCTGAACCTTATTTCACAGAATGTCCTTTATAATAGACAAATGTTTTCTAGATTTACACCAGTTTTTTGTAGATTGCAGCAACTAATCAAGTTTTTGGGCGTTTACCTTCTCTTAATCAAGCAAAAACTATACCAGTACAGTCAACCAGAATTATATTTATTATTATTTTAGACTTTTTAGACTACTGAATGTAACAGATAAATCTTCATTATTTGAACAACTTACTTCAGATTAGGTCTAGAGGTATTGAAAATTACTAAAGTTTAATAAGTTTAATAGATTTAATAGTATTTATAGTCATTTAAAGTTTGATTTTATTTAAAGTCAATAAATTTACATTCAAGAATAATTTATTTACGTTTTTATAAAATTTAATAATACTGCAAAGTAGTTAATCATTAATTATAAAGTATAATTACGAAGAGATGCAACACTAGGCATCTCTATCCAAACTTATGTGTAGGGGAAATTGTCGACGAGACAAGTTGTCCATTATGATAGGAAACTTTTGAATAAGTTGACCGTATGAGTGTCAATCGCTTCCTGTGGTAGCATATTCTTTGCAGTTGCTAACAAATTGTCTGTGTAGCTGTTTACTATGACTTCTTCAGCTATATGTGTTGTTAAAGAACCTTTGAGAAACAAAAAATTAACGTCATCAATTTTATTCACAATTTTAAACTGTTTAATAAGATCTCCTCTGGCTCTTCTCTCTTCCAGTGTTTTCAATCTATATATATTTAAGCGTTGCTCATATGGGAGATGTTTAATTGAGGAAACTTTCGTTATTCTGCGCTGAACTCTTTCAAACATATTGATACCTTTTTTTAGGTGAGGAGAACATGCTTGAATAGCAAATTCCAGGTGTGGGCGAACATATGTGATGTATAGCGTTCACCAGAGACAAATGCTTCTGCTTCGGAATGCTTCTTTGAGTAGACCCAATTTGTAACTGGCTACTGAGACTGCAGACTTCACTTGGGCACAAAATTTGAGGTCATTTAATATCAGAACACCTAGATCTCTTTTAGTTTCAGTTTTCTCCAGGTATTGACGAGTACCTTCTGTGTTTGTCTTAATTAATTAAGACAAACACAGAAGTCTCGATTAATGTCTGATTGTAAAACTAGCATATCTTCACTTGATTTTATGATATTCATAATTTTCCTATCATCTGCGTAGAGCTTATACTGGCTTGTAATGTTTTCAGATCGTTTATAAATAGTACGAAGAGGAGTGGGCCGAGGACGCTTCCTTAAGGAACGCCACTTGTGACTGTTTTCTAATCTGATGTGAATATTTCAGCAGTTAAATGAGTAACAATTACAACACGCTATTGTTTATTGTTTAGCAAGCATTTATCCACATGAATGCTTTCTTGTTGATGCCATATGCTTTCAATTTGCTCAAATGGCAATTGTGTTGGAGTTTATCAAATGCTTTTGCAAAGTCAGTGTAGATCACATAGAGTTTTGAGGAAATAAGTCAAACAGCTTTTTTTTTGAACGACTCCGTGTTGTGCAGTGCTTATTAAACCGTTTAAGTAACAGTGTAGCATTATTTTTTCATGTAATATGCTCTCGAATATTTTGCATTGTATGGATGTGAGAAAAACTGATCTATAGTTCGATGCTTTTAGTTTGCTTCCTTTTTTGAAAAGAGGCTTTTGAAAAGAGGTTGGATTTCCTCCACAGGTCTGGTGCAGTGTTGGTTGAGAAGGATTTTTTGAAAATTAACGTTAATGGCAATGCGAAAGCTTCTGCAAAGTGTAAGAGTACACGAGGGTAAACGTTATCAACACCGAGAGATTTAGATTTGTCTAGGTTTGCGAGTCGAGCATGGATATCGTTGATTGAAAAAATATCCTTGTCTAATATATATTTGTTTTCAGTTTGGGGTTCTAATTCCGACACAGGTCCGTTTCGCTTGTTGATAAATACTGACTGGAAGTAATTATGCAAGGTTGTGCAAATAATTTGAAGATATCTTGAAATTGTTCCATCAGCTGTTTCTATAGCATTGAATACATATTTTGAGTTGGTTTTATTTTTGATATGAGCGTGTAACTTTTTAGGGTTGTTTTTATATAAATTAGCTAGGTTCTCTTCATAATCGAACACGGCTAATCTCAATGTTTTTGTTACATTTCTACATGCTTCTTTGTGCTTGTTCCTGAGCTCTATATGTGTATGGCAACCAAAAGTGATTTATTTATTCCAAAGTTTTTTTTTGTTCTAATAGCTTATAAAATTTGGCTTGTTATCCATGGTTCGTGTTTCTTCTTGAAGGGTGAGGTAGCCAACGGAATGAGTTCTGCTATTAGTTTATCGTACACTTCTAGGAATAGATTTTAACATTCGTCAGCTTAGTAGTTTTCGAATAAGCTATTCTAATTGGTTAAACTTAATTTTAGCGAGAATTTATCGTAGCCAGCTCTGCTGCAGATGTAGCATTTTTGTTGCACGATCGGTGCCACGTCTATCATGTCGTTCAGAACGAATTGAACCGTGATTATTGCGTAAGGTTGTCCCATTGGAGGGTCCCCGAATGAGTCTTCCTCTTTTATTTTTATTAAGAGATCAGGCTTGTCTGTTATTACTATGTCAAGAGTACTGTTCGCCTCTGCAAATCTGTTATTACGATATGTTTTGAAGGTGATCAATTGTGTGAGTAAGCATTCGTTTAAGCAATCTTGAAATCTCATGTCGCCATGTCGTTCATTTAGTACGTGTGCTGTTGTCGCCATGCCGCCACCTCAATATACTCATAAAATGTGTTCCTAAAACTAAAATCACCATAGATCAGAGTGAAATCACACTCTAACCTTTGGGCGGTAGCTTTCGGAGCTTTGATAGAAGCTATACAGTTTTTGAGAGTTTTCATCATTTAGGTCCATTAGTCGATATATACATCTAAGAAGAATTGAGTTGCTGCCAAGCTTAATAAACGTGCCACATTTGCTCAATGGAGTCAAAATTGTGCAAAATTGGTTTCTAATGTAGTTACTTCTTCTTGTATATAAATGGCCATGCCACCTCCTTTTCCGTCTCTATCTCTTCGATGAATTTGATAGCCTGGTATAACCGTGTCACTCGTTCTGTTAAACCAAGTATCGGTGAAGAATAGAATGTGTGGAGTTTTAACGTTTAAGTTGTGTAAACGGGCTATGGCTTCGTCGCGTTTATTTAATTTAACGAGCATGGATTGTTGGTCCAAAAAGGGAAATTTACAGGAAACTTTTTTATTTGTTACGTGAATGCTGGGTGTTTTTTGGGGTGTTTTTTTTAGGCGGACTGGTTCTCTTGAGTGGCGCTTGTTGTAGCTGCTGTATTGCTTTGTCGATATTCATTGAGAGCTGCCGTTGCCGAGGCGAATATTCATTCTAGTTTGAGTATTGTTGAATGCTTCTTGCTGAGCTGGAGTCCTGTTTTCTCGTGCAAAAACTCCGTTAAAGTTTTGTAGTTGATGGCAATTGTAGTGATTTAAAACGGCGGTTTGTTTCTTTTCGTTTGCAAGAGAGACTTGAATAATATTAGAGTTATGAACAATTTGTTTTTTTACTTGTGTTTAGGCGTCTTGCTTGTTTGATTGTGAAGTTATCAAGAGCACAAGCCTTAATAACACCGTGACGCTTGTCTTGTCGTCTTTGTTCTTGGTAGACCAACCACAATGACATTCGCGGAACGATTCTGTTTGTTTTTTTTTTTAGGGCGGCGACAATGTTTATTATTTCGTTTCTGTGTTTGACTGTTTCCGGTGCGTTTTCTTTGAGTTTCGAGGCGTAGGTATCGAATTTCTTGTTTTCCAGTTTCTTGTTGAGATCGCCAATTTGGGCAAGGAGTTTCGCCTCTGTTCCTTTGTTCGATTTATTATCGATGTGATTGCAGAGATTAATGCCATCTTTAGCATCTCAGCGACGAGGTTTTTGTAGTTTTCGTTAAATGCTTTGCTTGCGAATGTTGCTACCATGATGTCTCTTATTGCTGCGTCGACTATTGAAACGCAAATTAAATGCTAAAATTATAATAATGTATAGATGTTTTAAAAATTATAATAGTACATATACATGAATATGATTTTATCTTAACATATTTTCTCCATCATTCCCCTAAACTAAATACCCTGTTCTTTTGCTTCTAAAGGCAGGTATTAGTAGACCTTATTAACTTAGTAGGTTTAAATCTTACTGAGTTAAAATAAAAATAGACAACATTATTCATCATTAGTTGTTATTGTTCTTATATATTTTACCTCATGGTTGATACGTGAGGATGGCGAGGGGAGATTGGAAGGAATCTGTACTGCATAAAATTATAATTTTTATTAATAAAACAATTGAAGTTTATTTGTCTTAACTGGTGAACTTTAGAAACTTATAATATCTTAATATATACACAATGGTTAGCAGCTGTTTTTTAGGAAGCTAGTTGATTGGGTACTTCAGGAGAAACAGTATGTAAAACTCTTGAGCGATACAGCTCATTCCACTATCAATTTAACTTCAACTACTTGAAGCATTTTGTTTACTTTGTTGAACCTTTCCGTATTTGTGCGCCTGTTTATATCGGCCGTCCCCAGCTGATATATATTCTGTTTAAAGTTTAAAAGTGTAAAACTGAATTTTGTAAAATAAAAAAATTGATTCCCTTCCGGCCTCTCCAAACGCCGTGGCCCCGCAGCGACTGCCTAGGCTGGACATGTGTAAAGACGGGCCTGTACAGAAATGAAAAGGCCCTGTTTCAAAAATCACAAACAATAAGTTAATTTTTTGTAAATAAGAAGCAATTTTTATTTTATTTTATTTGAGTTATCATGTTAACTTTAAATAAACTTGTCTTAAAAGAATAAACTTTAAAAAGGTAAACAAAGATGAATGAATACTTTTTAAAAACTTGCTTTTAAATTACTCTGTTTTTTGGAATAAAAAAGTATGAGTCTAAAGTCTTGATAAGGTAATAGTCCAAAATTTTTTGTTGTTTCATTTGACAAGGTATAATAAGTCTCTAGCTATATATATTGCTGCTTTTTAGTTTTTTATTTTCAAACTTTTGTATTTCATTGTCTGATAAAAGATTATATTTATAATAGATAGAGATTCCCTTTTTTGATATTGATAAAAGTTTATTTGCAAAATAGGTAGTTATGACTATAGTAGATGTTAATAAAACATTATAAGCATAATGGGTAGTGCTTAACTTATTTGATGTTGATAAAAAATTATATACATAATAGTTATTACTATAGTAGATGTTGATAAAAGATTATTTGCAGAAAATGTAATGATTAATTAATTAAATATTGAAAAACATCTGGTTACTAATCTAGTAGAAAACTACAAAACTAGTTAACAATTTTTTTAAAGAGAAAAATAGAAAGATAACGTAACTATAAAAATAGAGAGATAACGTAACTATACAAAAACTTAAGTAAGAATACTTTTCTACTTACTTCTTTATTGAACTTCATTTGATTTTTTTCTAAAACAGAAACAGGATTTTAACTTATAATTTAATATTAATTGTCAAAAATATTTTTCATTTAATATAATACTATATATCAATGGTTAAAACAAATTAATTGCCTATTGATGGAGTAACTAATAAATAAACAGTTATAGCCTAAAATGTTAGGACGAAAGAAAGATACGATCAATATAAAAATCTTTAAAAAATGAAATTAAAAAAAGGTAATTTACAAACATATAAACGCAAAAAATTATATAATAAAAGAGTAATAAAAGAAATGTTATCTGATACAAATTTTACTAACATACGATTTCGAATAGGGCTGGTTTCTAAAAGCAAAAATAAATGAGACTGACGAAATTAGATACTCGTTTACTTATTTCAATTCACGTCAAGGAGTATTCAATTGTTTAAAAAAAATTAGAATATTAATATACCGTCTTTTCTATCAACCTTGCCTTATGCAAATTTTCTGGAATTTGTCGGACTGTTAATTTTTTCTGTCTTTTTAAGGTCAACCAAAGGTGTTATCTTAACTAATAGGAGTAAGTTGAGAAATTTTGATATAAAAGTTAAAACTGAACTATCGCACACAAAGAAATAACTTTGATATGAAAGAATTTTTCTTGCTAAAAACTTGTGTCCATCAAAATATACCATCCAAAAAAAGGTACAATCTATACCTTAGAGTAGGATATGTGAAATACCTTTACTAAAGTACAATATTCTACTTTCTAAGATAAAAAAATTATACCTTCAAGGTATAAAATATTTGACAAATGATTTCAGAAGGTTGGAAATTGTATTACAAATGAGATATGAGATATACCTTACTTACGGTATTTTTCATATTCTACCCTAAGGAAGAAACTTCTGCTTTTGTTTTAGAAGGTAGTCATAATTGTTCTTTATCTATCCCTTTTTTTAGTTTTAAAGTAGTTTAATTTTGTTAAAAATACGCTAGTTTAGCCTGGAGCACTAGCGATCCAAGGGCACTTCAGAATTTAGAGAACAAAGCTTTTTTAATCTATTTGATTTGAAATTTGTAAAAAACATTTTTTTTACTTTTTTATATAGGATTTAGAATATCTGTTTAAGATCTTCAATTTTTCTTTCTTATAATCTTAACAAGAATAATTGAACTTTGAACAAATCTAATTCCACTGACAATTTCACACTGTTTACAGCTGACTGTTCAATGTTCACACTGACAATAAACCATGTTTTATTTTAAAAGTTTTATATTAACACAATATTTTCACACTGTTCACAGTTCACTGTTCAAAGTTCACACTGACAATAAAACATGTTTTATTTTAAAAGTTTTATATTAACACAATATTTCACAGTCATTGTTCAAGTTTACACTGACAATAAAACATGTTTTATTGTAAAAGTTTTTTATTAACACAATATTTTCTCACTGTTCACACTGTTCACAGTTCACACTGACAATAAAACATGTTTTGTTTTAAAAGTTTTTTATTAGCATAATATTTTTATATTGACAAAGCAACCTCAAAATACTGTTTTATACAGCTTTTTTACTTTACCAATTTCTAAAATAAATTCTAAATTAAGTTGAATAAGATTAATAAGTCATAGAATAAGTCATAGTTTACAAAGCAATAAAACTTTTCCTTAAGAAATCAATTCACAAAAAAAAAAAAGAACCTGATTATGAGAGCTGTCAGTTAGCGTAGAAAAAAAAGTCAAAGAGATAGTATTATTTGCAAATATTTAATCTATAAAAAACTATTTTCAAGTTTTACCTAAACGATCTTCAAATTTAAATGAAAACGAGAAGAATTAGTTTGTTACACAACAAATTCAAAAAGTTGTAGAGGAAGAAACTGGTATAAAGTATTTGAAATATTCGAGACTGATCCTTAAATAAATCAAGCAAAGAAAGCCATTGAAGAGAAATTGAATAAAAGTTTGAGCTGATTACCACGATGTCGTAAACTGGGTGACGTTGGCTATATAAAAACTGTCAGTTAAAAAAATATGCTATTTATGCTTTCTTCTAAATCTTGAATAAGATACGGTTATTTCCGTCATATAAAATATTTAAAAATATCAAAATGCAAATTCATTTCATCATATAGAGTAGTTACAAGACCGGAGAACCTGAAGAAGAAAAAATCTTATCATCAGTAATCTATGATAATTAAAAAGAGGGTAATAGCGTGTTGTTAGAAAAATTAAGTAAAGAATTTTGAATGGCAATAAGTTTAGTTATGTTCTTTTTGAAGTTTTGAGCGGTTTTGGCTTCTCTAAGTTTACAACTCGGTTTCGTAAAATTTTCAGTCTATAACAACCAAAAAGTTAATAACGATTAAAACAATATAGAAGAATTGAGATTTGAAGTATAAAATATGAAAAGTTTATCAATATTTTTGGTTCTTAAATTAATTAACGTTTGTTGACTTAATGATTTCTTGTGTTAGTAGATTTCAGTCATTTACACCTAGATAGAAATTAGATAAAAAGTTGTCTTATTTTGTTAAACTTGCAGTTATTGTGTGTGACTATTTATGTATTTTTATTTTATGACCTTTTGCTCAACCATTAAAATTAAAAATTTAGTTGGGTTGTGCATATTTGTTTTGTCAATTCTCTATGTTAATTTGAAAATTTGGATTAAATCACCCCGTCTTCTCCTGCTTTCTAACGAGGGTAATTTTATTTTTTATTTCGTTTATTTAAATAAATGAAATTTAAAACTATAATGACCCTCACATTACAAAATCACTTCACTATTGTGGAGTTGGTCATAAAATTAACAATTCTTACTGCATGATTCTGTTGCCTGAGGAGACATTTGAGTTTAGGTTTATTTGTACTACTCCAAACAATTTTGTTATATGATAAGTAACTTTTAATGAATGCAAAATATAGATGAGTTAGTGTAGATTTGTTAAAGATTTGACGGGTTTTATATAGTACCAATAATTCTTGAGATTTTATTGCGAATAATATTTAAGATGAACTCTCCAGGATTTGTTTTCAGCTACTAAAACACCAAGTAATTTGTTTGTAAAAGAGCGCCTAATTTTGATATTATTTGTATATAGAATCAATAAAGATGTAGGAATATATTGAAACTGTCATTTAGAATGGAATAAGGAAAGCTTTTTATTAGTGTTTAAAGATAAGCCTGTTTGTTTCTTTGCTTGCCACTTGAAATGGAGAGATAATGTTACTGTGAGAATAAAATAAAATGGTGTCGTCTGCAAACATGATAGTAGAAATAGTAATTGATGCTCTATATAGATCGTTGACATAGATTAAAAACTGCAAAGGTTGTGAAACCCTATTTTAATAGGGTTCAATTGATCAGACAAGTAACTGCAAAACCATTTATAGTATTTATGACAAACCTCATAATATTTTAATTTTTCTAGTAAAATCTGATGATTAACCGTGTCAAATTCTTTTGACAAGTCTAGGAATTTAACTAAAGTGTCCGATTTACACTCTCAGGGGTTTTAGGCTGAATCAATTTTTAGAACCTCTAAAAATAATTCAAATAAAAAAGCATTATATAGTATATATAGTGTTAAATTATTTGTTATTGTTTTTTTTAATGTTTTTGTTTGTTGTTTGCTTTTAATTGTTGTTTGCTTTTGTTTGTGTTGCTTTTGTTTGTTGTTTGCTTTTGTTTGCTGTTTGCTTTTGTTTGCTGTTTGCTTTTGTTTGTTGTTTGGTTTGTTTGTTGTTTGCTTTTGTTTGTTGTTTGCTTTTGTTTGTTGTTGCTTTTGTTTGTTGTTTGCTTTTGTTTGTTGTTTGCTTTTGTTTGTTGTTTGGTTTGTTTGTTGTTTGCTTTTGTATCTTCAATTCTTTAGTTTAGCGGTGCAGCTTTCATGTAGATTTGTTCTAGAGTTCCATACTGCAAAATTTTTATCAAAATTTCACATATTGCATAAAACATTATTTAAAATATTGCATATAATATCAAATTAAATATTAAGATATCATATATAATTTATGTATTAAGATATCATGTATAAATATTTTTATCCGACATAAAACTTAGTATATACAGCATATAATATCAATTTGTTATTCAAATACCATATTATGTTTAAATCTTGTCTTTTATATACCTACTAAAAACATTGTTTGTATTGACTTTTTTTTCGTAAGGCAAAGGTGCACTTTCAAACGCTAAAACTTTGAATCGGCGAATTCACTTTTTTTATAAAATAGTTATTTTTTATGGCTTTAAAATTTTTTTATTTTAATAATGAGTTGACAATGAGCATGTGGAATTTATTTTCATGCTCAGCGATTTTAATATTGAGTTTATAAAAATGTAGAAAATTTGAAGTTTTAAAGTCAAAATTTAAAATTTTTAAATTTGAACTTCAAAATCAAACTAAGCAGTTATTTTCATAACCACAGTGGCGGACTATTGAAATGACCCATGAAATATATAAAAATGGTGAGGTAGGGTTTAAACCTTTTTTGTTTAAACCTTTAAATAAATAAATCTCAAAATTAACCAAATTATAATTCAACTCAAAAGCTTCAAAACTCAAAATTCAAAATTCAAACTTCAAAATTCAAAATTCAAACTTCAAAACTCAAAATTCAAACTCAAAAGGTTGACTCGATCAACCAGTTTACTGAAGTGTTGCTAGTCTTCTTTTGAGGTAGGTATTTTAGTTTGTATAAAATTTATTATCTTTCTTTAATCTAAAACTTTTGAAAACAAAAACAACAACAACAACAACAAGATATTTATTTTCCTTTTCAAAATTTACATATAATTATATAATAATAATAATAATAATGATAAAAATAATAATAACAATAATATCTATAATAATACTAACAATATAATTATAATAAAATATAACTAATAAGAATAAATATAAATAATTATTAGAAAAGGAAGGTGTCACTCAAACAGAAGCCTGATCAAAGGAGTGACACCAAATAATTATAACAATAATAATTAAAAATTATAATAATATCTATAATAATACAAATAATATGATGACATG